CCTGAAAATGCAATAAGAAGGATAAAATTTGACACGACACTGAAGCTCTTTGGTTAATTTACTAACAGAGGCAAGATTACAAGAAAGGTTTGGAACATGGAGGACTTTAGAGAGGTTAATGGATGAGGAAGTTTTAGCATTTCCCATCCCTGCAATGGCGGAAAAAGAGGCATCTGCAACTTTAACTTTTTTATCTCCTGCACACGGGTTATATGAGGAGTAGAATTTTGGAATATAGGTCATGTGGTCTGTTGCACCTGAGTCAATGACTCAGGTGTTTTTTGATTTCTCAGAACAAAAATATGATGTAATTTTACCATTTTGGGCAAACAAACAGGAAGGGGTTTCCTGGTTAAGAATCTTTTGGGTATTTAGAAACTGTAGGAGTTGCTCTATCTTTTCCTTTGTGAAAGTGGGTTGATTGAAGTTGGTTTGTTGCTCCTATTCAATTTCAGGCATGGTAGTATGTAGAGCTTTCTCAAATTTCTTCTTTCCTGCTCCTGGTGGTTTTCCATGGATCTTCCAGCAAGTTTCCCTTGTATGCCACAATTTCTTGCAGTGATCACACCATGACTTTTTTCTTTCATCTCCCTTGACCACCAATGCTGAGGACTCTCAAGTATCATTTTGAGATCTTGGAGTGTTATTCATAATCATTTTTCTGCTTTCTTTAATTTTGATTTCAGAGAATACCTCTCTGATTGAAGGCAAAGGTTTCTTTCCCAGAATCCTTCCCTTCACTTCATCAAAGCTTTGATTAACTCCTGTCAGGAACATATAAACCCTGTCATTTGCTTCCCTTTTTTTGTGCTTGGCCAGATCTTTTGCACTTTCCCATTCATCATCATAGTATTGATCCAACTCCTGCCATAGAGACACCGTTTAATTGAAGTAGGTGGTGACATCTCTATCTCTTTGTTTGGATTGCCAGAGAATGGGTTTTAACTCAAAAATTTGAGAAGAATTTTCAAGGTATGAGTAAGTTTCCTTTATGGAATCCCAAACCTCTTTTGTTGTCTTCATAAACATATGAGGTTTGGCAATTGAGGCTTCCATTGAGCTGAGAAGCCAGACTGTTACAAGGGAATTTTTTGACCTCCATGTACTGTAGCCTTCCTCACCAGGAAGTTTTGGTTTGATTTCTCCCGTGAGGTAGCCCAATTTTCCCCTCTCATCAATTGCGAGCTTGACAGATTGAGACCATTCCAAATAGTTTTTTCCATTCAATCTATGGCTAGTGATTAGCATAGATGAATGAATAGGAGATTGGTAATTTGTCATAGGGCTAATTTGGGAGGTAGGATTGCTAGTGTGTGATGAATCAAAATCACTGGTTTTTACCATCGTTTTGTTTAAACCAAGGCTCTGATACCATGTAAGTTTTAGGAATAAAACTTTCTTCATTGTGATAAGCCATACGGCCATAATATATATACAGAGTACACACAACAAACTCACTATGCAGATCTTAAAAAATAGGATCAATCTAACTGCAGTACTTATCTGCTAATAAATGCAGTCTAACAACTCTATGATTTTATCTACACAACTACACATGTACACCATATAATAATAAATAATAAATGTAACATTTTCTATAATGTATAACAACAGGAGCTACATTTTTTAATGTACGATCAGGGATACTTTTCATTTGGGGGCTATTAAATGATGGAGTAAATTTTATTCCTTTTTAATCACCTTCTATTACTACTCGATGTGTTTAAGGGTAATGAATCCTACTCCATAGCCGACTTTTCTTTGTATCACTAATATTATGATTGAGGTGCTGCTCATTTTTTTAATGAAAACATGATCCATCAAGGAACTAATATTGTTGGTGGTAATCATATTGGGGGACTTTTATTGGTGGTAATCAAATTCAGGAATTTTAGGAAACTTCATCTTATCATATTTATCATAAAACTAATTAAGTTTATAATTCACTTGAAGAGAGTGTTAGGCTCACCTTTAACAAAATTGTTTTTACTTCCACCCTCTTAACATTAATTAGTACAACAAAAGGTGTTGCCGTTATAAAAAATGAGTTTATGTGATTGATATTGAATTGATTAAAATAAAGTAATAATTGTTTGAAATCACATATATTAATTATTCATATTAATGTTGTAATTAATTATCCATTATGACTAGCAGATACAACTTTGCAAGAGCCTATAAAAGATGAATGAAGTTCAATAGTAACAGCACACTATTTCTGGCAATTAATTCCCCTATCAACTTTCCATTTTCAAATTTTCTAATTTTGGTTTAAGTAATGTATAAAGACGTGCAAACATAATTTTTTGAAAAGCGGTATGCGTCCCTCATATAGGGTTTTCGGCCGCCGTTCGTGCGGATGCTTTCTGGTTTAATTAGTAGTGTTGACGCCTGAAATTCCTTTGCTTCCTTTTTAGCTTTGTTCTTTGTCCGGCATTATGGGTCTTTAATCGAAGGGTAGTGCCGGTTTGTTGTTTTGTTTTTCCACGGATTGAGTTTCTTTCGAACCCAGTCCCATCGCTTTTTGCTTGGTTCTGTGGCGTAGCTGTTTTTTTAGTTTAGTTGTTGGGATTGCTAGCGGCTTTGTCCGTTGTTTTCTTGTTTGGAGTCGAGCGGATTGTGGTTTTGCTGGGACAACTCTGACCGTGATTTAGTTGGTTGTTTTTGCACTATGGATGCAAAACAAGTTTTGGCTGATCGGTACGGAAGATTGCAACTAGAGGAGAAGGATGACGATGAGGCATACTTGGTATTGCCTGATTTTAGCGAGAAGGAAGAGCAGGAAGGAGGGTTGTCCGAATTGTCCTTGATGGGGACTGTTCTATCTGAGAAAGCGGTCAAATTCTTGCCGTTTAGGGACACAATGACATATATTTGGAGACCCAACATGGGCGTATCGATAAAGGATATTGGTGATAAGAGGTATCTGTTTTCTTTTTATCATGAGATTGATATGAGGCATGTTCTAAATTATAGTCCATGGCTTTCTGATCAAAATCTTGTTGTGTTGCATGAATTAAAGTCTGATGATATGCCCTTACAAGTTCCTTTCTATTTTTCGGAGTTTTGAATTCAAGTGCACAACTTACCAGTTAGCTATTTGAATTTAACTATTGCTAAAATTGTGGGTAACAATCTTGGAAGTTTTATCAAACTTGATGATCAACGGTTTGAGGGGGAAATGGAGGGCTTATCTGAGAATCAAGGTTTGTCTTGATGTAAGGAAACCGCTTCGGAAAGACCTGAAAGTTCAAAAATCAAGTGGTGATTGCTTATGGGTAAGCTTGAAATATGAAAAACTTCCCAACTTCTTTGCTCAAGGGCAATTTCTTTAGAGTCCTATTTTGGAATTCCAAACCATAATAGTTCTATTTTGGAATTTCAAATCTCATTTAGTCCTATTTAGTCCTAACTTCAAAAAACAATTTCTAAATAAACAAATTGCCCTAAATAGGACTAAATAATATTTGATTTTGAAACTACCCTTACACCTAGACCCACACCCATGCTTGGAATTTTGATTTTGGAATGCCTTGGGAAGTTTGGAGTATCATCCTTACGAACTATTCAAACTAGAAAAATCAATTCATAAGCCAACAATCAATGCTAAACTCTGAATCCTCACTTGGATCCATGGAAACCCCTCCAAATCACAATTGAATTACCAAGCAACGAAATGGCACAAAGCGGCCGACCGAGAGAAAATCCCTAAACAAGCTAGGTCAGATCGTTGTAAAAAAATACTACAAAACCAGTGCTTATACCGTGGTACCGGTGCATGGTGAACACCATGCACCATTTGTTATTTTTTATTTATCAATTTCTTAAAATTGTTAATAATTTTTTTATTTTTGATTCGATTTTTATAAAATTTATACTATTTTTTTTTATTTTTCATGATCTTTCAAATGAGACCAATATTGCCTATGTAATTTTATTTTTTTACATTCATACATTTTTTTGTAATATATTTTTATATGCATACACTTTTTCTATAATATATTTTTTTATCACTTTTATATGTTTTAGAGGTTTTTAAGATATTGAGTTTGTTTATTTTGCTTCTAACTTGGAGTTACATTTGATAATATACGAAGTTACATCATCTTATACTCCAGTTACAAGTTATTATGTGTGAGTTACATCTTGTTATGTGTGAGTTACATCTTGCTATACATGAGTTACATACTTTTATGCAAGAGTTACATGTAATTATGTATGAGTTACATCTTGTTATGTGTGAGTTACATCTTGTTATACACGAGTTACATACTTTTATGCGCGAGTTACATGTAATTATGTGTGAGTTATATCTAATTATTTGTGATTTTTTACTTATCTTTATCTTGAACTAATTCAATTATAACTGAATTAATTTTTTTCTTTGCCAATTTAATACAAAATTTTACTAATCCACATAAAATAAGTATATTGTATTTCATATTCATACACTATTTTTCAAATGATAAAAATGAAAGATGTAGCAGGGGTTTATTTCATGGTGTAACTCTCACACATTAAGATGTAACTCGTGTATATTAAGATGTAACTCGCGTACAATAAGATGTAACTAGCGCAGAAGAAGATGTAACTTCATGATATATTATCAAATGTAACTTCAAAATAATTTGTTAAAATTACATAAGAAATATTGGTCTCATTTGATTATTCATGAAAAATAAAAAAATTTGATATAAAATTTATAAAAATCGGATATCAAATGAAAAAGTTATTACAATTTTTAACAATAAAAGAAAAAAATGATAATGAATGCTGCGTCGTTTTGAGATCAGACATACCATTCTCGTGATGCGACGATCCCAGGTATAAATTGCGCTCCAAAACCTTGTCTGCTTATCAGTTAACTTTAAAAATCGCATAAATAAGTTTGTTTTTTTGTCAAAAAACAATTTCTAAATCTAGAAAAATGAAAATCAGTACTGAAACTGTTAAATCGAAAATCGGAGTCTGGATTTGACTTTTATTTTGGGACCGTCAAGGTAGTGACCCCTCTAGTCTCCGGCCAAGGGGCCCGAAGCTTGCAGCACCACCAAGCTCTGCCTCGCGGCGCCACACGAAACGCCTTTCAACATTTCAGTTCCTCGCTTTCTCCCCCAGGCCTAAGATTTAGAATCAAACTCTTCCATGGCTTCTGATCAGGTGTTAATATTTCGTTTATTAATTTATACTCCGTAGTATCTTGAACTGTTCTTTTTTTAATTTGCAACTTGATTTCCTAAATTCGTTAATAGTGTTTGTTTCGTTGAAAGGTTGCGTTTTTTACGCCTTTGAGTCTTAATAATGTGGAGGAGGAGGAGGAGGGAGGCTCACTTCCCAAAATACAGATAAATGAAGGCTCTAATTATCTTGGTCGCAGTTGTGTTCCAGCCAATGATAAACGGATCAGCCGGAAACATCTTACTGTCAATGCCACTTCGAAAGGCTCTGCAGAAATCGTTGTGGTAACTATTTAATTTATTGAAATATATATAATTTGTGTAATGCTTCTTTCATGCTTGATATATGGACTTCGGATTCATATGCTACCATAGATGGTGTTTAATTCGAAATTAACAGCAATATGTATTGTAGGAAGGTACAAACCCAGTTGTTATAAGATCCAAAGGCGAGAGGAAGAAGCTTTTGTCAGGAGAAAGGTGTAAAATTGATGATGGTGATGTGGTAGAGTTGATACCTGGGCATTACTATTTTAGGTACACAGTTCTTAGGAATGGAAGCCCACCAAAAATCAGGAATAAAAGGTCTGTGATGATTGAAGAAAGTAATAATAACAAAGAGCAGGAACGTTTAAGGAAAAAAGCTAGAGAAGTTGGGGAAGAGGCTACCATGGTATATATAAACTACAAAGCTATGGGCTTCTGAAGATTACAAACTAGTCCCTTAGTTTTGCTTTTGAGAATAATTGTTAATGTCGTACGGAGTATATTTTACTTGATAGCATATCTAATGTTTTTTAATAATTTTTTTATAGAATGGGTTGGAGAATGACTACCATGAACCAGAGAGCTCTGCAGAGGCAATACGTCATTTTGTTGTACCCAAGGCTAAGTTACCCCACAGTTTCCGGTTGCTTAGAGTTCGTGAGTTACCGGAATGGGCAAACACAAATACAGTTTCCATCCATGATGTAATACAGGTAAAGGTTGCAGATGTGCATCGCTGTAGAATTGGTATATTATTTGCTAACATATGAACAACTTGGTGCCTTATACTAAATTGCTTGTGCTAGGTTAATTCTTACTCTCTTAGGGTCAGTTTGGATTTAGGGTCTTGGAGGATCTTGATAAATATATTGTTTCTGGAAAAGAATGACGTGTTACTAACGCTGTTAGATAAGCTATTATGTTATTCCTTCAGTTTTTATAAAATCTCAAATATAAATAAAGGTATATACTTAGCCTACCAAAACCCTCCATCCAAACAGACCCATAAAGTTAGAGAGGCTGTGGTTTGAAGACTAGGACCTAGAATCCATAGAGCTAATACCCATACAATGAATTTTCTAATGATAGCTATATTTTATTTATGATATTGTAAATCAACTTGAACTCCAATCACCCTGAATTTAGGACTTCTACTATTACTTCTTTTTAAACTGTTCAACCTGATAGAAAACTAGGTTTTTGTATTTGCAGGGGGATGTCCTTGTGGCCATCCTTTCCAATTACATGGTAGACATTGATTGGCTACTTTCTGGTGAGTCTTATTATTGCGGGTGTGCATGTTGTGTACTACTTATGTGATTCTTTTGTAGAATCTTATCTCTGCTTACGATGCTATTTTCATGAACCAATGCTGCTGCTTCAATAACTGTTTTCCATCCTTTTTCAAACATCAACGTTTATTTGTGACATTTGTGTCCACTGCCCATCAATCAATGTCATTTTGTTGCAGCGTGTCCCACACTTAAAAAAATCCCTAGGGTCCTTGTTATACATGGAGAAGGTGATGGGACCGTGGAGTATATGAAGGTCAGGAATCCTATTTCCTTGACATATCTTCTGTACAAAAAGTTCCTACTAGTAAACTCTGGTCTACTTATATTGCATGTCTATTTTAGAGAAACAATCTATCAAACTGGATTCTACACAAACCTGCATTGCCCATATCATATGGGACTCACCATTCAAAAGCCATGATTCTTGTGTACCCTAAAGGAGTCAGAGTTGTAGTACATACCGCAAACTTGATATATGTTGACTGGAATAACAAAAGTCAAGGTCTGTGGATGCAAGATTTCCCATGGAAGGATCAAAAGTGTCCAAGTATTGAATGTGGGTTTGAAAGAGACTTGATTGACTATCTTAGTGTATTGAAGGTAAAAATGTGTGGAAATATTTTCAATAAAACTCTTTTATCTTGTATGTTGCATTAGTTTTATCTGACTATGTTTAATTTCTTTCCCAGTGGCCTGAGTTTACTGCCAATATACCTGGACTTGGGAATTTCAACATAAATTTCTCATTTTTCAAGAAATTTGACTATACCAGTGCAAGGGTAATCTCTTTGGAGACTATATTACTAAAAGCTGTGGATACTTAAATACTTATGTGGAAATGATTTTATATTCTTGAATGTTACGTTTTGATTTCCAGGTCAGGCTAATTGCCTCAGTTCCTGGATATCATTCAGGACCAAGTTTGAAAAAATGGGGGCATATGAAGTTACGAACTGTCCTTCAAGAGTGTACTTTCAGCAAAGAGTTTCAGAAGTCTCCTCTTGTTTATCAGGCATATGCATTTTTTACTTTTAGGCTATGTCCGGGTCTAAAAAACTGTAGGGAAAGGAAGAAGTGCTTTGGAAAATCAAATTAGATCAAAACTTTAATATAATTCTACATTTATTTAGAACTAGTTGTCTTTATATAATACAGTAATACTCCCTCAATCCCAACAGAGTGTGCCTGTTTCACTATTCATCTGTAAACATAATTCTTTTTATCTTTGATTTTGAGTATCAATATTTTATCATATTCAAATTCCGTTTGTGCACTTTAATAGAACTTTTAGGCTAGTTTTGGAGTGTGTGTATATTAAATAGTAATACTAGTTTAGATATTGTGAGGGTCAAATTCACATCATCACCTGTCAACCCTTGTAAACCTTATTTGACAATTGTTTCGGGAGGTAGTCAGAAAATACAAATAAAATGAGTTTGAACGCATAATGCTTTATCGAGTATGATCAATTTATTTTGATTTCGTTCCACGTTTTCTTTCCATCCGAATTTCTTCTTCTGTTTTCCTAACTTTCTTTTCCTTGAATATTCTGATTTCAAACAGTGCCTTAGGTTGACATTTCTGAATTCCTTTGAAACCATTTCTCATTTATTTACTGCGCTATATTTGCATTGCTGCAGTTTTCCTCCCTGGGTTCGTTAGATGAGAAGTGGATGACCGAACTTGCGACTTCAATGTCAGCTGGAATGTCAGACGATAAAAAGCCCCTTGGAATAGGGGAGCAAAAGATAATATGGCCTACCATTGAAGATGTTAGATGTTCTTTGGAGGTATTATTTTTGTACTGTGTTTGGAATCCAGCATACACTGAGTCGCTGTGCTAGACAATGTTTTGATACTCTCTAAAGTCTAAACATATACTACCCCCGTCCCCCAATTAAGTTACCGGTTTGACTTCACACATATTAAGAAAATAAATTTAACTTTACTGTGGAGTGCACTGTTATGCACTGTTTTGCACTGTTTGGACACTGCTTTGCACTGTTTGGACACTGTTTTGCACTGTTCGACACTGTTTTGATGTAGATAATTTGCCAAATAAGGAAAGTAAGAAAGTGTGAACTTAATTTAGGGACTACCCAAAAAGGAAAGTGGTAACTTAATTGCGGGACGGAGGGAGTATTTGTGTGTCACAAACTCTCACTTTAGACTGTACTGAATGCCTGAATGAGCTAATTTCCTTAGACATCCATTAGGGTGTGTATAATCCCGGAATATGCTAAGAAAAGCTTTTCGATTTTGTTTTGCTTTGTTTTATATTGGAAATTACAGTGGAAATTGAAGTATGATTAGTTTATTATATTATGTATTTAAACTCCGCAGTTTCTTTAATCATAGGCATAAACTAGTATATCACCCGTGCGATGCACAACATGAACTTTGTACAATGCGTGTTCAAATATAAGAATTAAAATAATAAAAATTAATCTAATTATGAAAATATATAGTACTGCTATGATATGATAAAAATGAAAATCTATTCAGGATCATCCATAAAAAGAAAGTGATGCTTTTCACAAAACGGAGAGTAGATCCCCATTTATTTTGAGTTTATGACCCAATACATGTCAGTCCAAATAAATGAAGCAAAAGAGAAAAATCGAGGAGACTTGTGCTATGCTTCTTGTCGTGAAGGGTTTGGCCTGATTCTTGTCGTGAAGGGTTTGGCCTGATCGGCAGAAAAATCGAGGAGACTTAAGGATATTATACTTGACGTGTATTATACGCGAATAAACTAACAAAGGTGAAGGGTTTGGCCTGATCGGTAGTTTTTCCCGTAACTGATTAATACCACCTTCTAAAAGGGAGTACTGTTGTACTTTCATATACATAACATTAATCCTTCATTACTTTCATATGCAGAACATTAATCCTCCATTACTTTCTGGTCTTAAAATGTGAACACCTCTATCCATCTTTCTTATTTTTTTATTTAAGCATTTTACTACATGGCATTGGAGCTAGTCAAATCATCGAATGATGTATATATTACACATGAAGGAAAGTAGGGGTCTAGGGCATCTCAAGAAATCTCTCAAGTGATTGAGCTATGTAATTTTATTTTTTCATTATATGAAAATCATACTCCGTATTTGTAAATTTTTTGGAATCCCATTTTCAATGACGACCATGTAGGGCATATTAATATCTTGAAGCCTTGAACAAACTGTAGAGAATCTGAAACCCTTTATATAGTTACATACATAGTACATTAGTACGTAGTAATATTCTTCTAAATATTTAACCCCTTGTTTAATCACATGTACACATCACCACATACGGTAACACGAGTACTGTCAAGCTAAGTTTAAGGTTACATTATTTTGCCATTTAGCTATTTTTTTGTTAAAACAACACATACAACTATTCACAATCCATACAACAATGAAAGAGACAAATGAAAAAACCAACCCAGACATAGGTAGTAGGGACAAATGAGCCCTGTAAATATGCTTCGTATTAGTAATAAAGCCTGGTTTGCCTCGATTTTTTCGAGGAGTACAAATCTAAAAAACACATCACACATTATCAGAACTAATAAAACTTTGTTTAAAAAATTTAAAGCTCATTTGGTGACCCTATTTTTGGCTCATAAGTGTTAGATATACCATACGGATTGTATTAGTTATGTTTAGTTAGTTAGTTAGTTTCAGTTGAACTGTAACCTCTATAAATACACCCTGTAATCATCATTTCAGTTTAATGAGAATATACTTCTTCCTCATTCATCCTATCTGAACTTCTATTATGGTATCAGAGCCATAGAGCTCCTTCGTTTTCAAGGATGACGAACTCGACATCTGATTCAGCTTCTTCTCACTCAATCTCTCAAAATTCTCCTATAATCTTTCATCATCCCTTACCAATCAAACTTGATTCCAATAATTTTTTGTTCTGGAAACATCATGTCAAATCTGTGATTCGAGCTCACAAACTTCAAAAATTCATTAAAAATCCTCAAATTCCAGATCAATTTATCATCAGTGGTGATGGCGCGACAAAGACTATCAATGAAGATTACTGTGTTTTGGAACAACAATATCAAATGCTGTTTTCGTGGTTATTGGCATCTCTTTCGGAATCGTTTCATGCTCGTGTCATCAATTACACTTTCTCGCATCAGCTCTGGAGTGAAATCAAGCATTTCTTCCGGTCAAACATTGTCGTGAAGGCTCGCCAGCTGAAATCCGAGCTGTATAACATCGGAAAAGGTGATCGCTCCATTTCTGATTATCTCCTTCGTATTCAGACCATCATTGATAATCTAACTTCCGTTGGTGAACCTATTTCAACAAAGGATCATATCAACGTAATCCTTGAAGGCCTCCCAGAAGAATACGATTCAATCGTATCTTCTGTCACATCCGGAAGCATTCTAGATCCTGTTACTTTATCTGAGCTTGAATCTCTCCTGCTAGCTAAAGAGTTGCGAATAAGAAAGCTTCGAGACTCTTCGCAACAGACTTTATTCTCTGCAAATGTTGCTCAACTTGAAGAAACACCTGTACAAACTGATACTGATTCTCAAAACTCCTCAGAAAGTCCATCTGCACAAATTGCTCAATATGACAATCCTGGTACAAACACTACCTACAGAGGTAGAGGCCGCAGAGGTTTTAACAGAGGAAGAGGTGGCAGATCTGGTGGTCGCAGTTCTGTCATGTGTCAAGTTTGTAGCAAGGTTGGTCATAGTGCTCTTATTTGCTATCACAGGTATAATCCTGCCTATACAGTCTCTAACCCTACATTACCAAACCATAATCCTACCTACACAGTATCTAATCCTTCTTTACCACAATCTACATCTCATTCTTATCGCTCTTATCCTCCACAAACAGTTCCATATCCAAATTCTACACCTCATCCTCACAATAACTATTCTCCATCCCATCCTCATCCATATCCACAGTTTACCCAACCAACACCAAGCTACATTCTAAATCAGCACTCTCAGAATACAAATTGGGGGCCTACCAATTATCATTTTTCATCATCATCTCAAAATCAACCTACTCCAACTGCAGCTTGGGCTTCTGCAAACACTTCATTGCTAGGACCACCTCCTAATGTACAGAATTGGTTTCCAGATTCTGGAGCTTCACACCATGTCACCCCTGATCCTCTCAACATTCAACATTCAACATAGTGAGCCACTTGCTACCACTGACAAGCTGTTCATGGGCAATGGTCAAGGTTTGGACATTAAGTCGATTGGTTTTTCTTCCTTTTCTTCTCCTTTTCATCCTTCTTATACACTCTTACTTAACAACATTCTCCATGTTCCTTCCATAACCAAAAACTTACCAAGTGTTAGTCAGTTTGCAAGAGATAATAATGTTTTCTTTGAGTTTCATGCTCATGAGTGTTTTGTTAAATCACAGGCTTCTAAAAAGGTCCTTCTACATGGCATTCTAGGTGCAGATGGTCTCTACAAATTTCAATCCCTTCCAGCTCTTGTTTTGTTTCTGGTCAATCTTTGTCTCAAAATAAGTCATGTAATCATGTTCAGTCTTGTAATAATTCTCTTTCTTGTAATTTGTGGCATTTGAGGCTAGGCCACCCTCACTTTGAGGCTCTCAAATCTGTAATGCAACATTGTAATGTTACTTCTACTAATAAAAATAATATTGATTTCTGCTCTTCTTGTTGTCTTGGTAAAGCACATAGACTTCCATCTTTTCCCTCTACTGCCATCTTTCATTCACCATTTGAATTGGTATTCACTGATCTTTGGGGACCAGCTCCCATGTTATCTTTTGATGGATACTCTTACTATATTTCATTCATTGATGCTTACACAAGATATACTTGGATTTACTTTTTGAAAAAGAAATCTGATGCCCTTACTGCCTTTCAAAACTTTTACCAATATGTTCTCAACCAGTTTTCTGTTTCCATTAAATCTCTTCAATCTGATTGGGGAGGTGAGTTTAGATCCTTTACCACATTCCTCACTGACAAAGGCATCACACATAGAATCATTTGTCCTCACACTCATCACCAAAATGGTGTTGTTGAGAGAAAACATAAAACAATTGTTGAGAAGGGTCTGTCTCTTCTAGCTCATTCTTCTTTACCACATAAATTCTGGGATGCTGCATTTGCAACCTCTGTTCACCTTTCAAATAGAACTCCCTCAAAGTCAATTGCAAATTCAAGTCCATATTTTAAGCTATATGGCTCTATTCCAGATTATTCATTTCTCATAGTCTTTGGATGTTCATGTTTTCCTTTTATCAGACCTTACAATAAACACAAAATGGATTTTCACTCTGAAGAGTGTGTGTTTATAGGTTATTCTTCCCAACACAAAGGCTACAAGTGCCTCTCACCTTCTGGGAAAGTTTATATCTCCAGAGATGTGGTTTTTAATGAGTCCAAATTCCCTTATCCCATTCTTTTCACTTCAATTCCTCACCAGCCCTGTATCTCCACTACTTCACAGTCTTTTCCCATAACCATTGTCCCTTCCAATTCCTCTTATCAATCTGATTCTTCCACTTCTTTATCCCAAACAGATTCTTCTCAACAAGGTTCTTCTCCCTCTCAATCACAACATAATACCTCTCAATCTATCTCTACTCCTTCCCACTTACACCTTAATTCATCTCAGCCTAATTCTGTTCCCACTTCTTCTCCTTCACAGTCTACTTCATCTGCATCACACTCATTATCCTCTTCTTCTGAATCTAATGCTCCTCTGACTAACACTCACCCCATGCAAACCAGGGCCAAATCTGGAATTGTTAAACCACGACTTAATCCAACC